GCTGAGAACTTCTTCAGTTGAGGTTGTTATGACACAGAGAGAATCGAAGACGGGATAGCTAAAGCTAGGTGAAACTCGTGACGATGGAGAGTAGACCGAGTTGAAATAACTGGAAAACAGCTGACATATGCTTGTTGTGTCACTGGCTACTTCGTCATCCAAATGCAGACTAGACGGCATGTCAGGAGTATTTCTTTGAGCCTTAACTAGTCCCCAGAAAGCTCGTGGATTAGAAGATATGTTTGATTGAACATTGGATAAATATCGAATGTGGCATTCAAGTTTAAACAATAAGTAGTCATAATACACAAGAGTCATAAATAATAATCTCTACCTAATTTAAAAATCACAGCCTCTTATATCTAAATCAAAAAATTCATTGATGTGGTATAATGGCCTACTTTGAAGCCAAACATATAATTTACTGTTAAATGCATTGTCAGAAATACTTTGAAGTTCCAAGGGCAGTTTGTTGAACAATTTGATTCCCAATGAGTTATGATAGTTATTAGTTAGACTTAACCTATTTTTTTGGAATTTCCAGTTTGCATTTATTTCTAGTGTTGTGTTTATGAATTTCATTTCTTTTGACCAATAAATTAACATTCTTTTTTATCAAAATCAGAACCTCATAGATGTATAAATTTATCACTGTCAGAATCCCAGTTTGTAAAAATAATGGTCTACAGTGATCTAGGCTATCTGCACCTGATAAAATTCGGATAGCTTTTTTCTGTACTAAAAGAACATGTTCGATTCCAACACCATTACCCCACACTATAAGACCATACCTAAGCAAACTTTCAAAAAAGGCATAATATGACATTTTTAAGTGCTTATCTGATACAAGTTTTTTTAGGTTTATCAGAAGGTAAATTACTCTGGACAATTGTTTACATACATTTTCAATATGAACTTTCCAAGAGAGCCTACTATCAATAGTAATACCTAGTAACTTAACAGGTGAACAGTTTTCTAAATCTACATCCCTAAAAGAAATTTGCAAATTACATGTTTTACTTTCATTTAAATACAAGCTATTTGAATTAAACCAATTGACAGTATCAGTAATTGAGGTAGTTACCACATGTTTAAGTTCTAAATTGGCATCATTAACATTTAGTAATGTAGTGTCATCTGCATAAATAATAGTCTTACAAGTTAAGTTATCAGGCAAGTCATTCATTAAAACTAAAAATAGAATAGGCCCTAATACTGAGCCTTGTGGCACACCTTGGTTCACACAAGCAACATCAGAACGTATGCCATCCACTTCTACTATCTGTTTGCGATCCAGCAAATATGACTTTAATATTGCAAGCTCTCTGTTATATAAACCATAAAATCTAAGTTTATCTAGTAAAATGTCATGATTAACACAATCAAATGCTTTGCTCAGATCACATAAGGTGATCTGAGCTAAAGATCCCATTTCCAGAGCAGAAATTACCTCACTAACTAGAGTATCTATGGCTTTTACCGTTGATTGACCAGATCGATAACCAAACTGACTGTTACTGAATAGGTTTGAATAGGTTTGAGGTGATGATATGAAGTACTTTTTAAGCCTAATAGCCACTTGGTTCCCAACCCCAAAATGGGGGTTTTTGGGGGAAAATTTTAAATGATAAGCCCTTATTATTAAAGGTTATTATTATAAGACTTATTATTTTTTTAAGTTTTTTATTATGACCTTCAAAATGAGGGGTCACTCGACTGGGCTTATCTTTAAAATGTTTGAGTTTCCCCCAAAATCCCCCATTTTGGGTTTGGGTACCAAGTAGCTATTAGGCTTAAAAAGTACTTCATAGCATGCTAAAAAGGTGTGTAGAATTTAGTTTTCCTAGTGTGAGCCGTTACAAAATTTACAGGGGGTCTCCAGACTTGGAAAGCTGTAAGTTAAATTTAACTACTGAGAATTTCAATTGGCTACCATTTTTTACTGGATTGAGATATAGACCTCTAGTTTGCATTGTTGGTTTTCTTTTACCAGGACCTTCAAAATGAGGGGTCACTCGATGGGTCTTTCCATTTTAAATTTTTGAGCTTCCTACAAAATCCCCCATTTTGGGGATGTACACCAAGTGGCGGTTATGCCCAAAAAGTACTTCATAACATGCCATAAAGGTGTGCCGAGTTTAGTTTTTCTAGTATGGGCCGTTAAAAAAATAACCGGGGGTCTCCACACTTTTTACTAACCCTGTACATTAAATCTTACTTGTACATTGATATTTATTTATCCATTTACTTTTAAGGTAGGGTAAATAAAAATTTGTGGCAAGCTTAAATGGAAGATACGAAGCTATAATATTTGAGATTTCATAGGTGCTGTAAGCACAATTAATAGTCAGTGGTCAGTGTGAGTAGCCAGTGGTTGCAGTGGCAGAGTTGAGCGCAGCGATAAGCGAGCATTTGTTGTTGTGTACCGTGACTGCCTCGAACAAGTACCAGTCCTGTCCAACCACTAACTAATCCCCTCCACGGAGGCGGTGTTTCTTCCCCTCAAGCACCTGGCAAAGGAGCGCGCCAAGCGGTAGTCGGTCGAACTGTAATGCGATTTTGCCGTGCAGGTAGAGCGGACCCTTAATGGCCAGAGTCCCCCGTAGAACACATTGTAAAGATTTATTTATTCATTTTAAAATTTTAACCTTTTTTAGCTCTTATATTTACAAATTGGCATTAATGGTTAAAAGTGATTTCGACACATTCATGGACTGTCAACAATCTCATCCACATAACACCAAGATTCAAAAATATTATAAAACCAGTTCAACATAGGCTTAAAATCTTTCATTTATCCCCTCAGTATATGGGGCCAAAAATTTACAATAAATTACCTGTTGAGATTAAAAACATTGCCTCATTCTCAAAATTTAAACAATCTTTAAAAAATTTCCATTTGAAGAGGGCATTTTACTCGTTAGAAGAATATCTGGAAGATGAGTATATTTGAACGATATTACTCCTCCCATAGGTTTGTAACTTATTATTTGCTTTATTTCTTTTGTAAGCTATTTTATGATTTAAAATGTAGTATAGTATTAGACTTTGTGACAAATCACCTGTCAAGAGAATTGATGTAATGTGATGATGTTTAATAAACATCATTGCTGTGGTGATTACCTCGACGCCAACTGTACATGCCAATCTATTGAAAAAGTAGAGTCATTCAAATATTTAGGAGTGGTCTTTGATTACCGTCTTAAGTGGTCTAGTCATATTCAATATTTAAACAGCAAAATTAGAAAATATATCTATGCTATCGGTCAGCTCAATCAGATTCTAAATGAAAGTGAAATGAAATTAATGTACTATGCTTTTGTTCAATCACTTTTATCCTTCGGAATCATAAGCTGGGGGGGGTTGTTCTAAAAGTATTTTAGAGCCATTAAACATAACACAAAAGTTAATATTAAAAATTGGTTTTGGGAAGTGCAAGCGTTACCCATCTGACACTCTCTTTAAGGATGTGTCAGTTTTAACGATCAGACAACTTTTCATAAAAAATGTTCTAAGTCATATTTTTAAAAATTATAACAACATTTTCTCCACAATTTCCCATACACATAATACTAGATATTCTACCCGAATTGGAATTTCATCACTACAACTATACAAATCATTTTCATCGACCAACTCATTTTATATTGCACCACACGTTCTATTTCGTAACTTGCAAAACAATTTTCAAAGCGTTAATCTCTTTGACTCCCCCACTTTAAACATATTCAAACGCCGTGTCAATGAGTGGTTACTTGGTCTAAGCAGGGACGAGGCTGAGCTTATCATCACAGCTGATTACAGACACAGACGCTCCTGACACGACATGCGACCTGACCATTGTACTCTGACGACTCGTTCTCCACCGCCCGCCCCACCCCCCTCTAGACACACTTTGAAAACCGCAGTACCTCTGTCACTATTACAGTTACCCTATACTATTTTTTTTTAAAACTTAATTATGCCACTAGTATTTTTTCACATGGTTTGCTCTTGTAACTCCAGTTAGACCATATCTTCACCTCATCATATCTTCGTTATTTATTTATTTAGATTTTGTTTTTGATAAATAATGTAGGCCTAATGTTTGGATGCAACTACAGTCGACGCACAGGCTCGCTGCCCATGTCGGCTTATTCTTTATAAACATGTACGCTTTTTAAACATAGATGTAATGCAAAGGTTAATTTTATGTTATTCTTTTAAGTTTACTTATGTTTTTCTCCTTTAAATATGATTTTGTGTACAAATTTCTGTAAATAATTTGTTTGAATAAAGATATAATTCATTCATTCATTCAAATAAATAAAATAAATAAATTGTTGTACCGTAGGCCTACACCTAGTTACGGAGAAATTTTTTTTTTTTACTGTAGCTTAATTTTAAAATTCCCATATTATTCTTAAGACAAATTAGAAAAAAAAAACGTTGCAGTTTGCTTGTTTCGGGATATATTTTGACCACATTTGTATGCTGTTAACATTTGAATACAAACCCCCTTTATTAGATCTGCCAATTAATGAAATGAAATGAAATGAATGAAATGAAATGAAATGCTTTATTCCCGTGAACATGATACATGTATGGAAAAAGTCAAATAAACTAATACTAGGTTAGAGTACTAAAAAATTGCAAAAATTACATGATTTGTTTGTTCCTGCAACACTCCATGCATAGAAAATAAAATAAAACCACACTTGCAAAACTCACAAAAAAACATTAAGGGAATAATATATAGGTAATGAAAATCTAACCAGGTAAATTATTGAAATTTGTTTAGTCTGCAGGTTTACAGCGGCGGAGGTATTTAAGTATAAAGATGGTTTAATAGGCCTACTGGTTTAGTCTTAAGCATTCTTATTCTTAAAAAACTAAGCCTACAGTGACAGAAGAACTATAACTTAAAAACACTTAACTTTATAACTCTATTACTGCTGACAGTTATAGAGCAGTGGATTTCTTGTAAAAATAATGTAGTCTAATCAACATACAGTACTTACAGCTTTATAATGTGTGGGTGACGGAATAGCTTCAGGTTTTGAATTTCCCTTCTGATCTTGCCAACAACATCGAGACTTTTGATTTTTTGACGGTTTAAAATTTTTACAGCAACTTTATGTTTGGTTAATTGATGTTCACCAACTAAAAGAAAAAATCAAATACAAACATTAGTCCTAACGAATATGAATATTGGGATAAATACCAGGAATCCTATATAATAAATTCAAAACAAGATCAGTTTGTTTAGTACCTACGGTATCTTTGTGCCTTTGTTTGTAAGAAAGAGCAACATTTTAATTGAATACTTAAAAAAGGTGAGAAAAAATCTTCTTACATAGCCTTTTAAGTATAAGTTTATGAATATAAAAATTAACTTTCACAACTTATGTACCTTGCTTACTTCCCTCGACGTCAATGACCTGTCTTGCAGGATAGACAGAGTCAAAAACACTAAAGATGATAAGCTCATAAGGCACATTATATAGGCTATATACGTAGGGCTTACTGAACAAACAATACTGGGTTGACTAATAGGCCTACCGATTTAGACTGGCCACATCAAAATTAGGTAAGTTAAGTGGACAGGTTGTGCAATAGAAAGATCAATGAAAATCAGAGTGAAAATGTAAAAAAAATTGCGTAACTATTTAATTTCATGATGGGTAAGCCTCTGGATCGAAAATTGAAATATAAAATGGTTTATGTTACATTTGGTGTCAAACGATCCGTGATGTAGTTAGAACAACTATTTACAGCTGTTTTGTGCCGCTGGGGCACATATTTAGATTGTCGAGTGTTAAAATAAAAAGCGCTTTCAACCGTGGATGAGTTAGTCAAGATATATAATGTCTATTACGCACGAAATGCACAAATAGAACATTTAAACGATGCAAATTTACAACATGACAGTCATGACGCAACAATCGTCCTGTATCTCGTGTGTTGGCCAAGTTGTAAATTTGTGTTGTTAACCATGTATGATAACCCAACCTAACATAACCGCCATAGCGCTGTAAGGTCCCAAATTGGACCTCTATTCAATTTTAAATTAGAGCGGGAAATGTTACCGGCAGTGTCCACCCGCCGCGCATTAGTAGCGTCTTAAGGACATAGGGTAGGGGTAGGGTGAGAGTTCTCCAGGATCGATCAACCGGCATTCGATCGGCCGGCATGTAGCTGGTCACTTCCCTCTCTTAACTACTCCCTGTTAACCCGCTCTAATTTACCAAACCCATTGGGTAAAATAAACGTGGACGACATCCCTATTCTGGACGATCACTAACTGTAAGTACCTGGGTATTAAATATAATTAAATTGATTATTATTATTTGTTGCTGTTATGTTCCTTTTTGGTGGAACTTATAGGCCACAGTTTGAGCTAAATAGCTAGATAGGTTAAAAACATCTAACAAGACTGTTTACGGGTGTTGTTAGTTGTTTCCTTGAGAGTACATTAATTCTTGGTGTAGACTAATAGATGTCTACTACCGTATTTGATTAAATATAGTGTTAGGGGACGGGTGAAACAGCTCACGTCCATCGTAACCGATAGTACCTTAGCTCTACACTTGTCATTCACAACCATGAGTTATAGTTGTTAAAGAACATATTTTATTTATTTTTTTATAAAAATTAGATTGTTAGGGGACGGGCGAAACAGCTCACCTCCATCGTAACCGATAGTAGCCTAGCTCTACACTTGTCATTCACAACCATGAGTTATAGTTGTTAAAGAACATATTTTATTTATTTTTTTATTAAAATTAGATTGTTAGGGGACGGGTGAAACAGCTCACGTCCATCGTAACCGATAGTACCTTAGCTCTACACTAACACTTGTCATTCACAACCATGAGTTATAGTTGTTAAAGAACATATTTTATTTATTCTTTTATTAAAATTAGATTGTTAGGGGACGGGCGAAACAGCTCACGTCCATCGTAACCGATAGTACCTTAGCTCTACAATTCATTCATCATCATAAATTATAGTTGTTACAGAACGCATTTTATTTAGTTAAATTGAATTACTAGGTGGCGGGCGAAAAAGCTCTCTGCTTATACAATCACTTGTTACCAATTACGATTCTTATTAGGTGACGGGCGGAACAGCCTTGTCGTGATCCGTCCCGTCTTGTGGTCTATTAATTAGTACTTATCTATTTTGATTAATTTGCTTAAAATTGATTCAAACCTCAGATATTCCCCACGTCACACCCAGGTGAAATAACCCAGGGAACCTAAGGTGTAGTTTGTTAGTCGTGAAGTCAATTTTTCTTTAGTTATTTTGATTTTGATTTATTGGCTTTTATTAAGAGGTGAAGTAACCTTTCCAGGAGTAATTTTTTTATTTTGTGAGCGTAGGTAACGCTAGTAGTAGTTTTGTTCACGGCTAACCTACGGTTCTTTCTTTTGTGACGTTTGATTAGCCTTTTAACTTTACATAAATTATAATAAAATCACAATCGGGGATTAATTAACTTTAATTTGGGCAATGATGATGACCAATGATTTACTGAATAAATGATCAAATCCTATGGTCTGAGCCCAGCCAATTAATAAATTAAACTGAACCCTGGACACACCTGACTGGTAGCAGATCCGAGGTTTATAAGGTGGAGTATTAGCCCCCCTCGGAAATAACACCTTACAGCACACTGTATTAGGGTGGCCTCCGGATGATACCAAAGAATTAAAAATAACATTAAAAACTCTTAATTTTATGTTTTATAAGTTATAACCGCTCTTCTAAGTGTTAAACGTCACCGACATCTACACGCCATTTGTAAATTTGCGTCCTTTGCTCAGTTCTCGCTGTTTAGGTCCAATTGGTAAAGCTATCTTGTTTTGAGAGATTTCTAAGTAGGCCTAGGTAAGGATTAGTGCCATCCAATGAACTTAATTTAAATTCATGTTTTCGAACACCCTAATCAAATAAGTTACGTTAAATATAATAAACCCAATTAAAATACGGTATCAATTTATTTTTTATTGGTGGGAAATATTCCCCATGCCTAACTCACCTAAAACGTTCTATAAGACGTTTTGTAAGCTGTTCCTAGACACGAACGGCACAGCAACTTTCTTAACCCTTTGGCTGCGACGGTCCGATACATATTGGACAGCGGCGCTATTGCGAAAACCGCCACGGTCCGATATATCGGACGTCTTCTAAATGTTTGTTTACTGGCCAGCTGATCGTCCAATTGTGACATATAACCTATGAGGCGATTTGTAATGAATCGGGCTACATGTAGAAACAGCTTTTGCTTTAACTTACTTTGAGTTTCGTGTCTTGTACCTACGACTTTTTTGAAAAAAGTGGCATTGCAATCATCTGTGTTTGTATAGATTGTATAGGTAGGTGTAAGGTTGTAACCCTCCGAGTGTTATTGTGTAGTGTTTTGTGTCGACGCAGCGACTCACAAACACTGTTTACGGCGAAGGCTCTATGACTGACAAAATCGGATTGAACTGGATCGAGTTAGGTATCGTTTTATTTCTCAGATTCAGAGCTTTCTCCGGAGGTCTGTCTCTAAGCGCTTTTCATTTTAGTTCCGAAAATATTGTAGCAGACAGCTGACGTGCGTATTTTTAAACAGCTTAGTTAACCTTGCACCGATGACTGATGTGTTTTATTACGTTTATCATTGTTTTAGTGTTAAAAATCAAAAGTAGTGATATACGTGGTGCATTATAAGAAGATTTAAGTGATTTTGAAGGGCTGGTTGATGATCCTGAAGAAGTAGGTAGTAATATTGATGTAAATTATCAGCCAGATTCCTAGCTATGGTTAGGCTATGCATTCTTAGCTAAACGCTATGTACTGAAATCTGTTTTTTGCCCATAACTTATTTATTTGCAAATCTACTTCCTTATATTATTATATATTTGTAATCCTCATAAAATTTAGAACAAAGTGGCTATTTTCAAATATTTATAGGCCTATATTTATACAATTTCATTGAGCGCAAACTTATTTTTATTTTTTGAAAATTTTCCAAAATATTTTTTTTTTACCTAAAAATTTTTTTTAAACCAATGTTCCTTATGTTTTATGTATAATATTGAAGCCCATGATTTTCCAAACAAAATGGTATATAGAACAGTACAATTAACATTGTTTTCAAGCTTCTCAGATCCGTTTTAATATAACCTTGCAAATGAGCAAAAAATAGGCAGACATTAAGGCCAAAACAAGGGACACTCGGAGGGTTAAAACTAAGTGATAAGAGTAGGCCTAGGCCTATGTGCTTAGGCCTTAAGTCTTTTTCTCAAAAAAGCACCGCTGTGAGCACTCTTTCCAGTGCTTTTGAGAGAGTGGGTAAGTTTGCTATGGGCCTGTAGTTACCTGGGTTCATTTTGTCACCTGCTTTAAATTTAGGAATGATCTTGGCTACTTTGAGTTTGGATGGGACTTCTGCTTGCAGGATTGATGTGTTTATTAAGTGTAAGAGTGGTTCTTTTATTTCGTCAGTAGAATATTTTACTATTTTCCCCGTTATATCGTCAAAGCCTGCAGAGTTTGTTGAGTTGAGCTTGGAAAGAATTTTTTCGAGTTCAGGGGTTGTAATTGTATTGAAACTGTCCAGAGGAGTGATGTCAAGATCTGTTGGGTCTTCAGCTGTGTGATTTAGACTTTGTTGTGATGTCGTAGGTCCCAAAAACGTGTTGTTAAAGATGTTGCTTATGTGATACGGATCAGTGACTATTTTATTGTTATGTAGTAGTTTGTAGTTCTCTTGTGGTGTATCTTGTATTTTATTCCTCTCTTCATTTATTGTGTTCCATACCATTTTTACTTTGTTGTCAGCTTCTTGTATTCTTTGTATTGTTTGTAGTTTCTTTTTATTCCTCACATCCGTGTCGTATTCTTTCTTTAGTCTTGAGAAGTTTTCTTTATCCTCAGGAAGTCCAGTGTCCATATATTTGTGTTGGGCCTTAAGCATGGTTTCTTTTAGTGCTAGTGTGTTTTCATCCCAGAATTTTCTTTTTCTATGGCCCGTTGTTTTTCTTTGTATCTTTGGCATTACTTTATCTATTTTGTAGGTTATGGTTTTTAGGAGTGAATTGTATTTGCTATCAATTTGTTGGGGTTCATAGATTGAGGTCCAGTCTGTGTGGCTCAGCTGCTCTTTAAGC